CAAGACTATCGTCAGATATTAGATAGGCTCAACCGCAGATGTTGAGAGGATTAATATGATCATATGTGGGATGGCCTATCCTTAGATGGGACGAGTCTATCCTCCTCAGGTGTGTGGTGAAGATAGGCTGCCTTCGTTTACAGATGTTGATTGAGCATGTCTTTAGAGGAGTTGCCTGTCTGTCCTCTCTTCGCAGATGATCCCGTCAACAATGAACTATAACTCAATATCCTATATTTTGGTGGATTCCTCACAGATCTGAAGCTGGCGTACCGAATCCTGGTTACTGAAGCTGGTTTACTGAAGCTTCCTTATAGGCAAATTACTGACCATCCCCAGGATGCAATTCACCTCAATTGTCCAACTCCCAGGTATATATTTTACTGTTAGGTGAACAGAACCATCAGGTAAATGGCCGTGCTTATCCGTTTCAGTCCTTCCCGGGGATTGAACACGGGTTGTATGGGTGTGAGCCGAAGACGGAGACTACTACGCTACAGGACACTCGTAACCAGAATGAAATTTTGCAGCACCGGACTTACAAGCTCACTTACGACATCGTAATTCTTAGAGATTCTCCGTTTTATTGACTTAGTGTTTTGCTTAAGGTCTATAAGCCTCTGGAGGGTTATTACGGTCAATAAAATTGTTTACTAATCAACCAGCAAGTCGTCTATAAGCCTCTGAAGCATGTTATACCTCTCAGAGTATATAATCCTTGTTATTTAGTATATTTTCAGTCATTTGTATACGTCAACTAGGTCCCTCCATACTCTTCGCCTCTCTAGAGTATAAAAATCAAGCTTTCTGTCGTTCGAGGAGCTGTCTTCCGCTATTTTTAATATGAAAACCTAAACTTTGAGATATTTGAAAATTTAATTTTGTTTACCCACCAAATGTCAAAAAGAACGGATTCACGTAGTCGTTTTCTATGAATGTTACCTCTTCTGGGTATGCTAAAATATTCTTTTGATTTATAACAATATAATTTATATAACAAATCACTGTTTCGGGGACAGGAAGCCAGAGTGTATTCATACACGTTAGGCTTTTATCGAGGTCCCTCCCCCTAGGGTCGAATTACTGAACTAATTACTGTAATTACTGAATTACTCACTGCTAAGTGAACAGCGGTATTAGGTGAGAAGAAATATGCTGACTGTACTTTTAACTTAACTTCTGTATATCCTTTCAGAACAGTAATCCTGTGTATTTCTGCTGTACACATACGTTCACCCATACAGTTGCTGGCCAGACCAAACGCCACTGAACCTCTCTGGCCCAGTGGCGAAAGCGCCAATCCCAATATTGATCAATGATAATCATTGTGATTAATCTTTGTAACTTTGTCTCATCTTTCTAAACCGCTTATCAAAACACAGATGAATGTCAAAATTCATCTCGATACAATCATGAGAAATAGAGGTGGGTGGGGGGGTTGGGATCTTTGACAAGCAGCCGGCATCCTGTCCTCGTCGAAGCCACTAGAGACCACCTAGATAAATTCAGGTAAATGACACAAGAAAACACATATAGTACTCTGCTTGGGCAGAGTAAACTAGAGTCTACACTGTTTCGTCTGTCCTACATGGTTATTAGAGTACGGTAAACTCGGCTTTACACGTATCATTTAATAGTGTACAGTAAACTTGGCTTTAAATGTATCCTCTAATGGTACATGACTCTAAGAAATTTTAGAGTTTACTAACTAAACAGTATTTTTTCTAGAGTGAGGGGGCCCTTAACTAGTTGTATACTTAGCGTCAATTACCCGTCCAGTAATTGGCCAGACCTGACGGTACTTAACCAATTTATTTGAGAATTGTGTTGAAAGATCCATGCTTAAAGTGTTTTGTATGTATGTATTGATCTGGCGCTGAGGATCGTAGATTATGTTCTATTGATCCGCTGCGAAGGCTCACAGATTATGTTCTGTTGATCCGGTGCGAAGGATCACAGATTATGTTCTGTTGATCCGGTGCGAAGGATCACAGATTATGTTCTGTTGATCCGGTGCGAAGGATCACAGATTATATTCTGTTGATCCGGTGCGAAGGATAACAGATTATGTTCTGTTGATCCAGTGCGAAGGATCACAGATTATGTTCTATTGATCCGGTGCGAAGGATCACAGATTATGTTCTATTGATCCGGTGCGAAGGATCACAGATTATGATCTATTGATCTAGTGGCTCGAATCACAGATTGTGATCTATTGCTTCATAAATTATGCTGGGAAGATTTATTTGTGTACAATATCTCCAATCGATCCAAGGCCTCGACTTCCAAAACTCCCCCCAATCTTCCCCCCAGTTACCCCTAAACCCTTCACAACACAACGCCAAGCTCTCACCTCACTTCCCCTCCTCGTTATCTCACAACTTCCACACTCGCTCACTCACTTCCCTTCAAGCTTTCATTCTTTTCCCCCACCCCCACCCCCTTATTCCTCTTCCAAATTCTCACTCTTACCCTTCACACACTCACTTCTCTCACCACATACACTCACGGCCCAACACACTCTTCCCTTCGCAACACGCTTTCAGCTGCTGCGCCGTGCTTTTCATCTCATATTTTCCTTTCGTTTGCCTCTGACCTTCCAGTCTTTTTTCATATTTTTCTATCTCTTTACCTTATCTATCTTTCCTTTATCTTCATGTCCTCCTTTTCCCATAGTCCTCTCATTCTGTCCAACGTTCTCAGTTGTGTATCAGTATTATGTCAGTATTTAACTTATATTCTTATATATTATATATATATATATTTTTATATCCTGATATAATTGCCATCCAAAAGATGTGACACAAAACAGTATTTTTTTCAAAACATAAAGTAATATGAATTGTTCTTGTGGGGTTTATACAGAAAGTAGGGCTAGGTTAGGTTAGGTTAGGGCTAGGATAGATTAGGTTAGGTTAGAACTACGTTAGGTTAGGCTAGGGCTAGGTTAGGTTAGGTTAGGTTAGGTTAGGGCTAGGATAGATTAGGTTAGGTTAGAACTACGTTAGGTTAGGCTAGGGCTAGGCTAGGTTAGGTTAGGTTAGAGGTTTCTGCTATATTAACTTAGCCCCAAGGATTGTTTACATTTCAGGCTGACAGCGTCTGACGCAAGTATCGAGTCTGAACCGTTGTACAGGCTGTCTCGGGTACAAAAGAGATTATTGTTCACGGCAATATGTCGGTATTTATAGCTAATAGGTTGTGACTTCCCCTACGCCCGGAGTCAATAACTGTGTCATTCCTTTCCCAGGTCGTTCTGGGATTCTAGGAATCCACCTAACCAAACTATTAGAGGATAGATTTATTATATATTTAGTATTAGTTAGATTTAACTTTGTATTATCTATGCGAGAGAGAATGTCAGGCTATTTGTCAGTATGTACAAATTTGGAGGCCAGATGCTCGTGGCTAGCCTCACCCAAATTTGCAGAGGGAATGGTCTGGGGAATGGGCTTACATAAGCTGATCAGGGTAGGCCTACATTAAATGCTTCAAGAAATAATAGCATTTATAAAACACCCCCACATGTGAAAGTCATGGCATCAAGTGTGAAATATATGGCGTGATTCCCCAAGAGTTTTTAGTAATCGTAATAATATATTTTCATACAGTTGTTTCAGTAATTTCTTAATAATGAATATTTGGAGGGGGAATCAGGTGAGGAGGGGTAGAATGGGGGGACAGAAAGAGGGGGAGAGTGAGGGAGATGAGGTGAAGAGGGGGGGAAGAGGGGGAAAGATTGGAAAGAAAGAGGAAGAGACCTGAGTGGTGCCGGTTATACTTTATGGAAGAGAATAGGGGGGGGGAAGGGGAAAATGAGGAGGAAAAGAAGGAGAAAGAGTGAGGGGGAAAGAGGAAGGGGAGAGGTGAGGGTGACAGGAAAGGGGAGTTATGGTGACAAGGTAGTGTAAGTATTGTGTCTTTATCCAGAGTAGCTGGTGGTGGTAGTGGTCGTGATGATGGTGGTGATGGTGGTGGTGATGGTGGAGCTGGTGTTGAAGCTGGTGCTGAAGCTGGTGCTTGGGGGGGGGGGTGAAGCTGCTGCTGGTGGTGCTTAGGGGTGGGGGGTTGAAGCTGGTGCTTAGGGGGGGGGGGAGCTGGTGCTGGTGGTGCTTAGGGGTGGGGGGTTGAAGCTGGTGCTTGGGGGGGGGGGGGGAGCTGGTGCTGGTGGTGCTGGGAAAGGGGGGGGGGGTGTTGTTCCATCAGAGAGAGCGTGGCAATGGCAACCTCATTTGTTTTGGAGTTGAGGATCTTGGCAACGGCCGACCACCACCACCACCACCCCCACCACCATCACCACCACTACCACCACCACCACCATCACACACACACGCATTGATACAGCCAGGGAAACCACCACCGCCACCATCACCTGCTGGGCTATATACTCTCGGAACACCTCACAGGTAAATTACTTTTCCCAGGTGTTAGACCCACATGGCCGAACGACTTGTGATTTCTGAATACCATTTTCTTGCGTTAAACTGACGTAACTTATTGTCTCTCCTTCTATTAAAGACAATTCGGTGATTAAGAAACTACGTTGCGAAGTAATGCCGATTACTTGAAAATACTTTATCAAAATATAATACAAAAAAGTGTTTAAAAAAAAAAAGAGTTTTTAACGAAACTGAAATTTTCCTAATTAAGTTCTTAAAAAAAAAAATTGAAAACGTCATCAGTTTCACAAACGACGCGTGCTGTGATTGGCTGAACCGGCTCCATGGCACCAGTCGTCAATTAAGTGTAAACAAACACTGCGACCACCTCAGTAAGCTCACATACCTACACTGAACACTAAACTACGTTAAGGTGTTGGTGTGTCCATAACAGCACAATTAACATTTCCACGACATTCAGTGTACCTTTTTGTGACTTACAAGTCCCCTTTTCCCCCACCCAGTGGACACTTTTCGTCGAAGCTTGGAGACAAGGAGCTAGTGGGGGTGGTTCGTCAGACCAGAGAGGTACTGGGAACGCCGCTGGAGTAGACGGCTGAGGTTACCAGTACTGGCGAGGAGTACCTGCTCCTCCTCCAAACTCTGTTGGCGTCCTCGAGTATGTAGCCCTTTCACACCTCCAGGGGAAAATAGGGGTGAGTACCGCCCTTTTCCCTGTGGATCTAAACTCGGTGCTACCCTGCCCCCTGTCCAAGGGGGCAGGGCTTCTGTCCAAGGGCGCGGGGTGGGGGTTCTGTCCAGGGGCAAGGGGCAGGGACGTTCAGCATGGAATTTCCCTGAACTTAAGGTACCTTAAATCAGGGAAATTTATTTAAGTTACGGCACCTTCAGTCTGAGTGATAATTGTATGATATTCCCAATTTTGTGACCTTTGGATGTAGAATACAGCTTACTGTATTCACTAAGCTGGCAGTACCTTCACTGTAAGCTTAAATACAGTCATTACCCCCCTAATGCTGTATTAGCTCTTAAATACAGTTCTAGTCTCAATCCTGTACTATCCTCATTAACATCAAGTTCTACCTTTACATACAATTCTATTATCTATCTCTTACGTACAATTCTAACTCTAAATATGCTAATCCCTTAAATATATTTCAAAACTCTTAAGATCTAGATTCGTTCCATGCAGTGGTATGTGCATCAGTCGACAGCTGGATCATGCCAGGAGCGGTGATTGTGGTGAAGTTGTGGTGGTTTCCGTGGCAGGATGGTGGTAGTTTAGTGTGGTGGAGTTTGGTGTTTTCATGTCTTGTGGGTTGGTGGTGGTTGTGTGGGGTAGTGGTGGTTTTGTGTGATGCTGGTGGGTTTGTGTGGTGGTGGTTGTTGCTTGGTTTTGTAGTGGTGTTTGTGTGTGGTGGTGGTAGTGGGGTGGTTGTTGTGTGGTGTGTGGTGATGGGGTTGATGTGGTGATGAGTGATTTTTGCCTATCAGCACTTACCTATGAGTGTCTACGGGTCTGTGAGGTTTAGCTGTTTTGTGACAGACTTATTGTTGTGTACCTGTTGTGTACCTGTTGTGTACCTGTTGTGTACCTGTTGTGTACCTGTTGTGTACCTGTTGTGTACCTGTTTATGTGCTGCTGGTTCTGGTGTTGTGTGTGGTGGTTGTTGGTGTGTTTATGTGCACAACTTGCGTGTTCTGAAGTGTTGTGTGGTGGTGATAGTGAGAGGAATTGGTGGTGGTAGGGGTTATGGTGACGTGGGGGTGGTAGGTATGGTGTATGTGGTAGTCGTGATGGTTGTAGCGGTGGTGTTGAAGGTGGTAATGGTGGTCAGAATACCTGGAGGTGGTGGTGGTTATGGTGGTGGAGTATTGGAGTATACGTGCGAGTATACCTATCCAAGGATACCCGATACACATCCGCCTCTGGTTTACCTGATAACTCTGGTGAGTGTACCAACACAATCTCCAAGCGTGACAATCGCTATGGACAGTTCCAATCACCTGTTTTTTTTTTCTTTTATCAGTAATTACCTAATTTCTTTGATATAACAAGATCGTAGGTTGTGAATTACAATTATTGCATTAAATACAGTATGATATTCGTATGTGTATGTGTATACAATAATTTTGACTGCTAGTGAAAAATATGTGATGATATCTTTGTGGATTTTTTATTTGCAAATTTAGGTATATATAGCAATGTGCTGTTATCCTATTCTGTATGAAGGATAGCAGAGTATAGATACAAAGTTATGCTTTCATCTAATATCCCCCATTTCATAGAATGGTTAGTTATACGTGGATTGAGAAGCAAAGATGAGATGAAAGTCTGGTTTAATATCTTGCAATAGGAAACTCTTGATAGATCACGAGACTATCTTGCAAAGATCTGTGAGTGTATGGAGTAGTTACAGAGCTCAAAAGTATTTAATCACCAATTGGTCTGAAATCATTGATGAACAGAGCACTCACATATAGTGTTGGAGGGTTAGTTCCAGCATTTTGTTCAGGTAGTTCACAGGTGAAATGTTCATTGTTGTGTTCACTCATTACTTAGTTCATCCTACTATCAGTATCCATATCCCCCAGACTGTATTCTAGCAATTACAATGTCACACTGTAATGTAGAAGTTTATTTTTTTCTACCACAAACGTGGCCACATATTTACAATGCTAATCATCATATATACATTTTCTTCTCTCTCCTCCTTGGACAGGATTGGAGATCTGTTACGTATATAGTGTCAGTGATTGGTTTCTGTCAGCCCTAATTTCCTGCATGTTGTTTATTGTTTAAGATTGGCTACTTGGAACAAAACGTTCCAAGCAGCACCGGCTATGGTGAGCCCTAGTTGCCTGCAATTGTGGGGTTTTCATAAAAGCGATTGAAATGCCTTGGTCTAGCTCAATTTCAGGTATATATGTATATCATATATGTATATCATATACAGCTATTACTACTTGGTGGTTTATCATTATGCTGGATATCACCTTTGACATGTGATATCCGTATAAATGAGATTCTGAAACTCTTTCTCTGTGTCTCAATTATGTTATTTATATAATGCAAGTTACCACATTACTAATATTTTTTTTCATGTTGGGTTTTCAAGTGTTTGAATGGCTTACTTTGAATCACAAAACAGCCGCTTTTATTGACAGATAAAGTTAAAAAATCGAATAAAAAGCGTTTAATTAATTATTAAACAGCCCAGTTCCTTGTCTTCATATCCCTTCCAATAGTCATTTTGACTTTCCGCTTTCTCTTCATAATAGTTGCAAAATAATGCAAAATAAATACCTTGCAAGGTATTAGGCAAAATAATACCTTGCATTCCGGGGAACCTTTTCACATTTCCACCTTATTCACAGTTCCTCGACTGTGATGAGTGTGAGTTTATTCACTCTAGGTGAGTCTGGGCTTATTCATCTTTGCTCTGTTGGTGAGTTCCCATCATCTGTGGGACAAACCTATTTAGCATGCTCTAGTCTTAAGTACTAGAACTGTACTTAAGACAGTTCTAATACTGTTTTAAGTCTTAAGTACATAGATACACACTTTTAAGAGCCTCTGTCTAGGTTCTTGAAAGCAGCAGGACACAGTACTCTGTCTACTGTGAGGTAATGTTATTATTATTGCTAATGGCTGCCTGGAGATCAGCTTGACCAGGTAACAGTACACAGTACCTTAATTACCGTGAAACCTACTGTGTCTTCACCTCACAAAAAAACTTTCTGTAGGATAGTGTGTTGAGAAAGTATGTTGAGATACATAATAATATATTTTCGGGGCCTAAAGTGCATGTGTCGAGTATGACACTGTTGATATGTGTTGCGACACACAATGTGTCACAACGGCTCAGAGTTGAGACACATGGCTTCGTAAGACAGCACTGCTTTCAGGTACCTTTAAGACGTCTTAAATGATCTTCCCTAAGTTGTCTGAGGTCAAAGGTTACATTGCAAAGTTTGAGGTTGAATATATATGGCCATTCAGTCACAATGGTCAATAGCATATATAGACTTTTTCGTTGGTCATTGATAAGGTTAGTGATCTGCTAGACTGTGTGAGAGGATATTGAGCACTCAACCCCAGGTGATGGAAGTTAGCTATGTGTGTGTGTGTGTGTGTGTGTGTGTGTGTGTGTGTGTGTGTGTGTGTGTGTGTGTGTGTGTGTGTGTGTGTGTGTGTGTGTGTGTGTGTGCATCACTGTGTTTATCCATATCTCGTAGGGTATCTATGCGTGTGGACGTGAGTGCGTGTGCGTGTGTGTGTGTGTGTGTGTATTTACATAAATAACATCGTGTGCGTATCTATGTGTACACGTGTGTGCGTATTGAACCCCTTCTATTGTAGCTTTAATACGAACATATCATCTTGATTTATTAATACACTGATATATATCAGTGTATTAATAAATCTATATATATTATATATATATATATATATATATATATATATATATATATATAATATAGCTACATGTTACATGCCATAGATCTAAATCAAATTTTAAAATACACTTGAAAATCATCAGAATTTGACCTCAAGGCCATACGAGTGTCGTTTTTCATGTTGTGGCAACACTGGGTTCTGTTGTCGCGGTCACGTTGGCAACACTGACGCACTGTGGAAGGGAAGGGAACTATCAGGAGAAAGCGCCAAGCCATTATGACTATAGCCCCCTGGGAAGGGGTCAGGATAAGGATTTGGGACGGGACGGAGGGACAGGAATGGTGCCCCAACCAATGGATGAGTTTCAAGAATTTCTAACCAGGCAACAGAAGAAACGGAGAAGGCAGGATGTAAGGCGTAGTGTTAACAGTGATAGTACACTTAACGGAAACGACAAGAGAATGAAGAACGACGCCGAGACTGATGTCAGAAGGACGAACGGACAGAACGAACGGACAGAACGAACGGACAGAACGAACGGACAGAACGAACGGACAGAACGAACGGACAGAACGAACGGACGGAACGATGTGAGGAAGGTGAGGGTCAGCGGAGATGGAGGCTTCTCTTCCCTGCCTCATGCACGCTGGCCTATCATCAGAAGCTGCTGTGGACAGTCAGACTTGGAAGAGAACACCGCAAGTTCGAGCCCCTGCTGAAGGAAGGTGTAAACAGATCTTACTTAACGGTAGGTTCTATGGAGGCAGTGGAGTATCTTACCCAGCAAGGAAACGATGGAATTGTTATGGCAATACCGGAGGGGAACGAGAAGCTGACGAAGGTAATTATCTATAAATACCCTCAGATTCTAGACCCCGAGTTCATCCTCGACGACCAACGATTTGTGTGGGCCAAGCGTCACCTTATTAAAGGTGAAGCTAGGAGTCAGGTGGTGGCTCTAGTGAGAGGTGAAGTTCCCGAGAAAGTGTTCATCACTGTGGCGGGCTACACGCATGTAGCAAAGAATGTGGAAGAGCCCATAATATGCCTGAAATGCTGCAGATGGGGGCATAAATCCTGGAGCTGTCAAAATGATCCACGATGTCGTTTCTGCGGAAAGTCTCACCTCTCTAATGTGTGTAGAAACAGACTTAATCTGGGTGAGAAAATAGTTCCCAGATGCTGCAACTGTGGAGGTGTTCACAATGCGAGCTCGGCTGTGTGTAGCAAGAGGCCGAGTATGGATGTTCCCCGGCCGGTGAATGTTACAGAGCAAGCAAGAGCTCTTACCCAGACACCGGGAGCACAGCAAAACAGTCTGCCCCAAACAGCACCAGTGAACCGGACGAATGCGTGGGTTAAGGAGTCACCTTTACTTCGTCAGGCTCAAGCAACAAGCAGCCACGCCACCACTCAGGACTCCGGCAGTGACAATGTAACGGTGAGTGAAGTGGCTACTGTGGCTCAGAAAGAGGGTCATGATGATATGGCAACCCGTTCTCGCAAATTTAATAAGTCAATATTGACTTATTAAATATGTGCATAGGTGACATACTTAACATAATAGATACCCTTAAAAAGATTCATAGAAACACCAACCTTACCTAACCTACTTAGTATGTTAAGATAAGCATCTTATTGCTTCGTAATTACAATTATTACCTAACCTATAATAGGTATAGGTTAAGTAATAATTGTAATTACGAAGCAATAAGATGCTTATCTTAAGATACTAACAAGGTTAGGTAAGGTCGGTGTTTTCTATGAATCTTTTTAAGGGTATCTATTATGTTTAGTATATCACCTATGCACGTAGTTAATAAGTCAATATTGACTTTACGAATTTGCGAGAACGGGTTGGATATGGGCAAGGAAGTGTGGGCTGAACTCAGAAAAGTTGGTGAGTTCCTCCGAAATCTGGAGCAGAGAATAGAGTTCATCGAGGCGAAATTAAGCGTTCAGGAGGTCAAGGAAAATCACAAAACAGTGAAGGAAAGTCAGGATATAGTGGTTGAGGACAATAATGAAATATTGAGTGATGAAATGAAGGAAAGTGAAATGTGTGAAATTGATGGTAGTCGTAGTGAAAGGAAGAACTCTATAATTAAACATAACATGAAGTAATCATTTGGGCCAATAATGGACGTCATGGAACTGAAGAAATGTATAAACAGCTAACAACACAATTATGCCTCTATAAGCAAACCACCACACAACCAGACATTACAACCCAACCACACAACCATTAGACCACCAACAACCAGGAACACAACCACTTCCTCAGCCAAACAATCCCACAGTGATTGTATATATATATACAATCACACAAATATACTCAAGCATACCCATACCCCACCATACACAACCATACTCACTACACACAGAAATCACAATAGTGTGATGAATCAAATGAACAAATCCACAAGAGCCGTGATGAGGGCTCGAACATACGTCCGTACTCAACCATACTCAACTTACGGTTACGATACGTAAACTTAGCTTAAGCTGTGTCAGGCTCGGTTGAGTTAGGTTAGTTTGGGTTGGGTGTGTTGTGACCTGAAATAAATAAAGAATGATTGAATTTTTGAATTTTGTCTTTTTTGTTCCAGGTGGCTATGATGTCTGGCGTCTGGTGTAACCTGGTGCTGGTTCTAGGTGTCCTTGTGGCTCTCAACGCCCAAGTGTCCTATGCACAAGGTATACTGATCCTATACATACGATATATTGCTCCTATACACAAGATATACTCTCTTCCTTCTAGCTGGCTACTCACCACAGTGAGTATGCTATGAAACATCTAGTTAAATATCTACTTCATCTACTAAACATCTACTCCCTGGCCATACAGATTATATCTACTCACAACCTTAACTATCCTCACCCATAACTATTTTAATTACTAACCTGGTATTCTTGCCACTAACTGGCTAGTATCACTATTAACTCTACCTATTCTCACTTCTAACTAGTTATTCTCACGAATAACTATGTTTACCAGTATCTATTTTTTTTTATCTGTTTTGCAAATCTCAGCCCCTACTAAAATAGGGTCACACTGTCCTAGCAAAACTCCTAGCTAGGAACTTCCTAGCTAGGAAGATTAATCCTAGCTGTCAAGATTCTCGCTTGCCTAGCGAAACAATATTTATAACATGTATAACACAGGAGCATAATAGGTGTAATTCTAATGTAACTCACCTGTTGGTCATGTTTAAGGACGTATCCTAGTATATGCCATATATACATATACTAGTATATGCCATATATACATATACTAGTATATGCCATATATACATATACTAGTATATGCCATATATACATATACTAGTATATGCCATATATACATATACTAGTATATGCCATATATACATATACTAGTATATGCCATATATACATATACTAGTATATGCCATATATACATATACTAGTACATGCCATATATACAAATACCAGTATATGCCATATATACATATACTAGTATATGCCATATATACATATACTAGTATATGCCATATATACATATACTAGTACATGCCATATATACATATACTAGTATATGCCATATATACATAAACTAGTATATGCCAATTCTGATGGATTCAGGTGAGTGGTGGATGCCAAGGTGTGTGTGTGTGTTGCATGCAACTGGTTATTGATATGACAAAGGTGTCAAACTAAGTCTTGCTTTCTTGCAACAGATATCAATGGCAACTGGAGTGATTGGTCGGTGATTGGGACTCCCTGTACGAAGTCCTGTGACGGTGGGGTGACCACGAAGGTCAGGTCATGTACCAATCCAGCCCCCGAAGGAGCTGGGACTCTATGCACCAGAGTGGATGGGAGTATAGCTTCTGATGGCTTGGATTTCAAGGTTGCTCCGTGTAATATTCAATCCTGCTGGGGTAAGTTATGTTGGTCTATGTAATTGTATGAAGCATCCTGTGTCTCTGTCTCTGTCTGTCTCTCTCTGTCTGTCTCTCTCTCTCTCTCTCTCTCTCTCTCTCTCTCTCTCTCTCTCTCTCTCTCTCTCTCTCTCTCTCTCTCTCTCTCTCTCTCTCTCTCTCTCTCATTCTTGTATGCTCAAATATTAATTAGGTATATGTAAGATTTTTAGTAGAAATTATTTCTTTACTTCGTAATCTATGTTTTAGTATTCTGCCTCAAATTATTTTAAGTATATTTCTATTATTTGAAGTTCGTGGATATACTTTCCACGAATTTCAAGTGGAAAGTATATCCAACTGTAATCAAATTAAAATAATCAAAAGAAATTTCAACTGTAATCATGATTAAAGTTAGGCTAAGTAAAGTTTTTGATAAGAATAAGATTCTTCATTGCTACAGTTATATAAAACAATTTAGTAGTTTAGAATTTTCCATCAAGTTAATTTGACAGAGGGAAATAAGAAACACTAATTCTACCGATTTATAAGAACTTGAGAATTTCCCAATTCTTTATTTTCAATGAAGCATTTATAAATCATGATATTAGAGAAAATATTAAATTTTTTCCTGATAAACGTATTGAGAGAATTTACAAAATTCCCTTTGTAATAAATTTTGTAATAAATTCTATGTGAGGCAAACCTATAAACACCTCAAAAAGATAATAAAATATCATACATACATCAATAACATATATACATCAATAACATATATACATCAATAACATATATACATCAATAACATATATACATCATAAGGACACGTTAGATTCAAGCTTAATTTGCCATTTCAATTTTCCTATTTGTAAATAAAATCCGTACCATAAATTTAAATAATTTAATTTCTCCATGTCTCAAAACCCCCCAAAAAGGATATTGAATTAATATTTGCTTTTGTACAGGGTTAGGAAATTTTTAAATTCCGGGTTAACAGTTGTCATCATTAATTACCAAACCCATTTTTGTCTGCACTGACAGCCAATGAATGGACCGAATGGGGGAACTGCTCTGTCTCTTGCGGCAGGGGAATCATGACACGGTTTGCCGTGTGTGGTAACGAGACCTGCTATGGTATCCAGTTCAAGCAAGATAACAAATCATGTAACACTTGGAACAAAACAATGTGTCCAAGTAAGTTCCATTGCGACTACCTTTCCACGTACCTTTGTTCACGAATTATACGTGTCTAAGTTCCACTGAAACCACGTGTTCACAAACTATACTTGTTTAAACAAGTTCCACTGAGACCATGTGTCCACTCACGTTTGTTCAAGGACTTTATACTGGTCTAAGGAAGTTTGTTCAGTCATATGGGGATATCTCAGTGGGATATCATAAGTGCTATCCCAGTGGGATAGCCTTAAGAATCACATGATGACCAACTAACCAGGCAAGCCATGAAGACACACATTAACTAGGTCTTTTGTGCCTAAACTTTGTCAGATCATTCCATATGTAATGAGGAAATTATACTAGAAATTCAGAGTAAAGTTTATCTACTCTGTGAATTTCAGAGAAGTTCAAAGTGTGTCATTATCTTAATACTTCTCTAATGGTAAATAACACTTTGTTTTTTGAAAAATATATCACCTTTAAAAGTGTAAGTTGAATATAACATTCTAACAAAAATGTAAAGTTTAATTTTGATTGGTGTACACCTGTTTAGTTCAGTCACTTTTGTTTAATTATTTGTGTAAGTTGTTATCAACATAGTTTTGGGTTAATAATTTGACAAGTGTAATTTTGTTAAAGTATTGATTAAAGTAACTTCTAGATCTAACTTATCAGTATACAGTTTATAATTATATATATGTTACATATTATGTTGTTATTATAACTTTTAGGTCAATAATTTACTCTAAATTTGAGTAAACAAACCCTAATACATATGTAAAACACATATTTGAATAACATGAATTTGAGAATATGTGTAAATTAAGCTGTTTCACATAGTTTAGAACATATATTCATCCCTAAGTATCACTCAAGTTGAGGCATTAACTCAAGTAGTAACTATAATGATTTAAAATGATATATTTATAGTGTGTGATGATATATTTGACTTTATTTCAAAAGTTTCAATTCTTTAAGAGTTTGCATCTGCTTTGCATCACCGTTTCTTGAGACTTATACACAGTTGCTTTCATTACAGGTCCTTGCAACACCTGTAAGTGTCCAGACTACGGAATATGCAAAGATCTCTCGACTGAGCTCGATCCCAACGCTACCTGCGTCTGCACTATGGGATACCAGATGAGCAGCGATGGTCAATCCTGCATCCGTGAGCCACCCATTGCACTTTTAACGCTTGATATTTGTTGCTTTTCAGACTTAATTGTTTGGCTGTAACAAGACTTACGTTCTCTGAGGTTTTGTTCTGTAAAGTTTCATTACTCGAGATTCTCAGGCTTTGAAGATACATTGGATGTATCAGAAGACACATGTTTCTCAAGTTTGACATCCTGTACTTATGTAATATGTTTATAGTACTTATGTGCTATAAAATGACTTTTCTCTTAGGCATCGCAAGGTCTTTTGCCCATAATCTGCAGCAGATTTGAACCTGCGTTTAATTAAGAACTAAAATATTAGCTCAATAAGCACCTGATTTGAGGTTAATTATGAACAAAATATTAATAATATAAGCTAATATGAATTTGCGTTTATTTATAAACATAACTTCACAACAAAACTCCTGATTTGATCTATCACTTAATTATGAACAAGATTAATGACCAATTAAACTCCTGATTTAATCTTGTATTTATTTATGAGTAAAAGGAATCACTCACGCAAACTGATCTGATTTGAGGTTGCGTATTACGCCTAATAATGGTACCTCCAAAACCAGGTCCTCCTCCAACAACTCCCACACCTCGCCCGATACCAACGATGGCCCCGGCGCAGAAGGTGGTGGCGGCAGTCATCTCCAAGTCAGCCTCAACCGTCATCGTCATCTGCGTCAGCATATGCCTCTGCATCTTCTTCGTCTTGAGGATCTTCACGCCTGACCGGATCATCCAGATGAACATGGAGATCGCCCTTCTCCTGGCTCACATTCTCCTTTTATTCCCCGACTTCTCCACGCAGAATTCGGTGAGTCTAATGGAGATAATGGCATGCCTTTGACGCTTACCAAGTCTCTGTAGTCTTTCAAGTCGCTTGTGACTTGAGGCGATCTGTGCGCCAGGCGCTATGTTAATCCAAGGATCTACAGGTGTCTTACGGTAGTATTCGGAGCCAAGAGGGAATTATCACAACACGTTTCTCGAAGTCCCAAAGGCGGAGTTGAAGCCAGACGTCCACTTCGAGTCGAGATCGCGGTTCCAGCGCGTCTCTTTTAATTCCTCTACTGTCGATGGCAGACCCGCGTTTGGCTGCCTGAATGTTGGTGGCAGCCACGTGTAAAACAGGTGTTTGATGGGGGCATAGTCTGTGATCTAACACCTGTTATTCATGTTTTACAGCTGTGCTTCGATCAAGGGACATTGGGAAGTATTATTGACCTCATGGGGCGTGTCAGTGCTGTGTGAGGTGTTGTCCAACCAGTAACTTGATCAATATTAACGTTAGAGGCTTTTATATAATTTTTCTTTGGATATGTTTAATTACCAAATAAATAATATATCTAGTGTTCACGAGAGACATCTCCCGTCACGCAGGGTGCAGTCGAACCTCCTCAGATCTTCAGTATCATCTATTGATACTGGCAATGGCTCCAAAGGACCACCACTTATGGGCTATTCATCCCCGTGCCACCTTTTGGGTGGCTTAATCTTCATCAATCGTCAATATCTAGTGTTATTTTAGATTTAGTTCCCGGTACGTCTCTCTGTGTGAGCAGACGACTCCCTGAATTTACTTTCAATCACTCGTGTACGTTTTTCAGACCATTTGTACCGTGGTCTCCATCCTGGAGCACTACTTCTTCACCGCCTGCTTCATGTTCATGTTCCTGGAGGCGCTGCACATGTACGCCTACGTGGCCTTCGTAGTCAAGAAGGACGGTATGTTCACCAGGGCCCAGAACACCTTGGTCGGCTGGGGCGTCTCCGCCATCATCATCCTCTTCTGCGTCTGCTTCCAGTATTCCAATTACGGAGGAGCGTATGAGTGAGTGACCCATCTTGGATCTGCTAGATGCTGATATTGTGTTCTCTTTGGGATTGGTGTTAGTTTATGGCTCGTATCTCTTGTGTGTCAGGATCTCAGTGTAGAAGAAAATGATAATAGCTCAAGAGATAATATAAGATGAGCGAGGACATGGAGAGAGAGAGAGAGAGAGAGAGAGAGAGAGAGAGAGAGAGAGAGAGAGAGAGAGAGAGAGAGAGAGAGAGAGAGAGAGAGGGGAGAGAGAGAGAGAGGAGAGAGACATATAGAGAGACAGAGACACAGAGAGAGAGAGAGACACAGAGAGAGAGAGAGAGAGAGAGAGAGAGAGAGAGAGAGAGAGACAGAGAGAGAGAGACAGAGAGAGAGAAAGAGAACCCCACCCCACACACTACAGCCTCCTCTAATCCCTGGAGAACAAACCATAGCACTGTCTTACCCTCGCAGATGCTGGGTGATGATGGACACCGGACTCATATACGGAGAACTCATCCCAATCGTCGCTCTAGTCATCATAACGTTCACACTCATCGAGGCAGCAGGAGCGGCGGAATACAAACCCCTGAAAGGTATAATGATCGTTTGTTCAAGCTGTTCACGTGATGAACACGATAGTGAACACGATTTGGCCAGTATGTTGCAACAGGATCTGAGTATTTGTTTAATTTCAGTTAAAGAAATAACTGGTTTTTGTTATACTTTGTTCAGTTGCGTGAGTATGTTGTTTATATAAGTGCGTGTAACACATGCAGTCTGTAGCACATAGTGTTACAGTATGAGGTACATAGTGTTACAGTGTTAAAAAGACTAAGCTGTCTGTTTTTTTCATTAAGATATGAAATGTTGACCAATCCACACGCTAGAAAATGAAGGGACGACGACGACGTTTCGGTCCGTCCTGGACCATTCTCGACTTGACAATCCACAATCGACTTGAGAATGGTCCAGGACGGACCGAAACGTCGTCGTCGTCCCTTCACCTCCTAGTGTGTGGTCTGGTCAACATACTTCAGCCACGTTATTGTGACTCCTCGCCTGCAAAATATGAAATGTTTCACGTCTTATTTTTTTTAAGTCATTTGTCTGTATCTACGAATATCCGTGGATTGGAATGTTTTGAAAAACTTTCGCTGAAACTTCCCAACACTCAAAAATGATACAACAATATTTATATATATTTTTGTATCATTGTTTCGATAATTAATTTCTCGAAACTCACACAGGTATAGATAAGGGCCAGCTGACTAGCGCCAAGTTCTCCCAGCGAACCAACCTTATCATCATGCCGCTAGTATTCTCTCACATGCTGCTAGGCATGCTGTCTCTGTACGAGCAGAACCTGGCCCTTTACAGCATCTTCTCCTTGCTCAACAGCATCACCGGCGTCTGCATTCTTTTCTTCCACTGTAGCAACAACCAACAGGCAAGCCAGGGTGACGGGGGTGTGGGAGGGGAAGGTCATAGGATATATATATGCTGCATGTCGCAGTCTGGTCCCACCTAAAAAAAAATAAAAGAGGTCCCGGGGTTCAATTCCCACGACAAGCTCAGAAGCGTTTGGGCAACGTTTCATTTCACCTGATGCATTTGTGCACCTAGCAGCAAAATGAATAACATGGGTAGGTATACAACTTTAGTTTCAAAAATACAACTTTACTTTCGAAAATACAACTTTACTTTCGAAAATAGAACTTTACTTTCGAAAATACAACTTTACTTTCGAAAATACAACTTTACTTTCTAAAATACAACTTTACTTTCGAAAATACAACTTTCGGGTGTTGTATTGTGAGAACAACCAGTAGTTTGGTCCATTGATTGGGTCAAGGGAGCCCTAGGGGACCCCCATAAAACTAACCTCAGGCTTCATGTCCCCCACCAACAGGAAATAATCAAGTATCACTTCATTTACTGATCCCAATTTCAGATGCATTTTACCCAAAACATTTTTTTTAGAAATTTCTGAAAACAATTTAAGTGCCAGTTATAAAATTATGTTATACTACCAAGTTCCAATTATAATAGGAAATCATTTATCTTTGAATTGGTTCACTTTCACTTCAATACTTTTTATTTTGTAGTATCAAAGATCAGTTAGAGTAATGGGTGTAGGTCACTTTCTCTCTCCAGTACTGACGGATACTGTCTCTCTCTCCAGTACTGACGGGTACTGTCTCTCTCTCCTGTACTGACGGATACTGTCTCTCTCTCCAGTACTGACGGGTACTGTCTCTCTCTCCTGTACTGACGGATACTGTCTCTCTCTCTCCAATACTGACGGATACTGTCTCTCTCCAGGTCCGTCTCAAGTTGAAAGCCGTGATTGGAAAGATGTGCAAAGGCAGTGGAAACTAGACACCAGTCACGGCCCTTAGAGCACTGAAGAATCCTCCCAAGATAACGTGGATGCTGCAACAGAACACCTTCAAGATAACTGGATATTTCAACACAACACCCTCAAGATAACGTGGCTGCTTCAACACAACTCCTTCAAGATAACGTGGATGCTGCAACACTATTAACCCACCAAGATATCGAAGATGGTACAACACAGCCCCCACAAGATAACCAGGATACCACAAAGATACGTATGAAAACAGGGTATACAGAGGTAGTTTTACTGTAGAGTGTAAACAATGAAGAACTGTCTAGAGTAGACAGTAGAGTCTGTCTATGTCTATAGTAGACAGTAGAGTCTGTCTACTCTCTGTCTACTTTGTCTCGGGTAGACGCGTGAGACAGACGCCGTCACTTCCACAGAGTTTACTATAAACATCTTGCCAACCGTAACAGTCTCGACGATCTCTGACACTCCAGATGACCGCAATGGTTTGTGGCCTAGTGGATACAATATGTAAGACTGAAACGTTTCTGTAACGTTGAATGAACGCCATCATACGTCACTTCAGCGTTAAATCAACTCAGAGAATTCAACGTTTCTAAATGTCAATAAAATTCTGTATTTAGCTGGATTAAAAGCCACTAGTTGTAAACTCCAGTTGTAAACTCCAGTTGTAAACACAATAGCACAAGAACTATCGTAGGAACTAAGTAAATATGAGAACTATAACCCTATATGTGCCTTCAGCTTTTTACACTAACCGATTTGCTTGTATAGGTTATACTTCATAATAATATAGTTTTTATTGACAATTTTCGAAAATGATATTATCTCGTTCACTTGACCCATCAGCTGATGAGAATAACAGAAGCAAATAATTACTGGTATTCCACACAATTTTGTTTAGTCAGGCGTAGATATAATACCATTTTCTTCAAATGATGTACCATAGTGGTTTTCTGTAGTTTAGTAATATGGGGGGTATCTATTGTATAATATTATTAATGAATTAAGAATCGCAGCAAATATAATTTTTCGGGAATGATTATCACCTGCACGACATTAAAAGTATATTCTTAAGCTCTCAGCACGTATGGAAGGTAAGCACGGAATTTATCGTTTGTTTCTTGATTAATGAAATTGACTCCAAAAGTGCCTTAGGTGTGTCTTAGAGATGGTAAATTAGCACATTAGGTGATAATCTTACGTTAAATAATCCTAATGTTAGATCAGGGACAAGTTAGAGGGATAAAGTCTATGTTAACGAGGCTGTTAATCCGTTATAAACGAGTCAATGTTATTAAGACTTGTTAAGGAGATTTGGCTCATCATGGACTCTACCTCGCTATATAAACATATATTTTAACTTGTGATTTTTGTAGAGTTTAGTGAAGTTAAGCACCGTTGTCTCTGGCCTACACTGGATGGGTGGCCGTGCTATAGAGGGACCATGACAAACTAATCAGGTTTCATGGACCGACAATGGCATAAGCCAGTACATCATTATACCAGTAATATATATATATATATATATATATATATATATATATATATATATATATATATATATATATATATATATATATATATATATATATGTCGTACCTAATAGCCAGAACGCACTTCTCAGCCTACTATTCAAGGCCCGATTTGCCTAATAAGCCAAATTTTCATGAATTAATGTTTTTTCGTCTACCTAACCTACCTAACCTAACCTAACCTAGCTTTTTTTGGCTACCTAACCTAACCTTACCTATAAATATAGGTTAGGTTAGGTTAGGTAGGGTTGGTTAGGTTCAGTTAAATATCTACGTTAATTTTAACTCCAATAAAAAAAAATTGACCTCATACATAGAGAAAAGTGTTGCTTTATCATTTCATAAGAAAAAAATTATAGTAAATATATTAATTCAGGAAAACTTGGCTTATTAGGCAAATCGGGCCTTGAATAGTAGGCTGAGAAGTGAGTTCTGGCTACTAGGTACGACATATATATATATATATATATATATATATATATATATATATATATATATATATATATATATATATATATATATATATATAACTTTTATACAAATATAAAATACTGTTAATTTGAAGCATTATTGATTTATTTAAGGTATTAATTGTGATATTAAATGGTAAGAGATGCTAACATGTGTATTTGGCTGGATTACTGAATAAATATTTTAACCACCTTACTGACCCGAGACGAGCATCGACAGCGGCCTATAATGGCTGCTTGTTCAACTGGAGAACGTGAACACACACACACGAACACTTGAGTGTTCAACGTTCATCAATAATTGTAACTTACGAAATATATCTTTAACAGCTCAATGGTGTTTTCACTATCCGAATTATTTATCGATTTTAACGACGTGTGGTTTTAAGAATATAAATTCATAAATTTTTATGAATTTTGATAAATGAATTAAATAAAATGAATTAAAAATTATTTTTTCCTTAATAAACGACTTGAGGAATCACCTTGAATAAATTTTTAATATAATATACTAAATTAATTTTCATACAATATCCGTGTAAATTAGACGCGTCTAAATGAAGTGATTATAGTCAGCCCGCTTTCTTAAATTGCCACAAGGTACTAAATAAGGCGTACTAACACATACGAACCCAAACCACCCACCTAACCTAACCAAATCTACGTATAGAAAACGGGGTTCCCAGGGGGGGTAGACATTAGGAACTCTCAATAACTTATCATTCAGATCATCCTTAGATTGTGATAGCATATTATTATTATACCCCTATTTGATTGTAATTAAATTGTCTCAAATGTTTTTTCGAGTCTAAAAAAAAAAACAGAGTTAATTTTCATAGTTTTGTATTGCTTATTATACGGTATACACGCCAAGCTGTATGTTAAATGTTAAAGTGAGTTTGTATCTCTTACGTCTTGCACATGTCTCGTAGTTTGTAAGATCGTAAGAGTTAAGAACAACGTAGCAGCGTCCTTCTTAATTCTTACGATCTTGTTATACACGATAGTATGTTGATAAGTGGTGTATATTTGTATATTTATATACACTGTATATATAATCACCCTCTCTTCCTATTTATATATCTTCCTCTCATCTAATACATCCCATTCTTAACGCATTCGACCATTACGTCAAAATTACATCGTACAGGGGGGAGGGGTTGTTAGTAAACACTAAAACACCGTAATATCGACGTTTTCCACACCGCAATAGTTTAAATAGATTGCTATGGCTCAAAATATTTCTGAATAGGCAAAAAACAACTGCATTTGTTTTTACGTCGTGTCAAAATACTTATACAGATCAAGTGGCGTCAATTCCGATAGTTGACGCTAGGTGGCGGGCCCGGGCCTTTGTTTACATCGTTTGAGGTCCGGAGTAAACGACGCCAGTCAGTAATTATCCGCCGCGAGAAGTGAACTAGGTGGCCTTGGCTACTCCTTTTCCATCTCTAGGACGACAATACTCCCCCTTACAGCGCCGCGACAACTACTAACGACTCTGCGTGAGCAACCACACTAACGAGGCTCCAACAGCGCAACACAGCGGGTAGCGACAGTGTTGCACAGGATGAATTGCGGGGAAAATCCTCGCCCGCTAACAGCTTGCATAAGCCCGGCTTCGACTACAAGCAGGTATGAATTGACTAGTTCGTATATATTATAAGCATTATTGTCGTTTATCACAAGAGCGTACATTATAGACTATTAAAGAGGGGCACATTATAGACGTTTATCAAATGATATAACATTTTATGTACACAAAGCCTATAATGCCTATGTATTTTAAGTTAAGGATTTGTTTGTGTATTAATTAGTTAGACTGTTGTAACTCAATTCAACGCTAGCCCCTTTGGGTACAGTTAAATCCCCTTGTTTCAAGACTCGAATTTGCATAGTATTAAATAAATCCTTATAGCTATCCAACCTATTTTTGGAAATCGTTAAATTGGTTATCTCGATGTTAATAAGCAACCCATTCCACTCGTTCGTCATCCTATTTTCCAAATTGGAATATACCTCTATCATTCCTAAAGAGATTAGTTTTCCCTATTTAAGCATTACTGCTTCTTTTGCCCTATTTTGACAGGGCAAAAGGATATAGGATTTCTATATACCTCTTGTGTTTTGCTGCTATGTTTAGAGTTTAGTATTCTATAACTGGCTTTTGTTTGTTTAAGGGTTCTCGTAGTCAGGTGTGTAGGCCTCGAGGGAGCTTTGGAAAGTCACATATATCCACCACGTCACTATCTAAATGCATTTAGGCTCTGATTTATTGATCATAGGTAAACGTAAGCTATACCAGAGCTTGAAGCTCTGGTATAGCGTACGTTTAGTTAACGTAGTATATATCAAAAGTATATTGATGTTGACCAGACCATACACTAGAAGGTGAAGGGACGACGACGTTTCGGTCCGTCCTGGACCCTTCTCAAGTCGATTCAAGTAGAAAGTATAATCACGTTCTAACCTGAGTAGCAGGTGTTGCCTTATCAGTGGTTATCTATGGAAACTGGAATGGTATCTCGGCTTTAGCAATGGTCGAGGTGCTATGAGTTCTCAATTTTAATGGTTGGAATACATCAACTGGCGGATATCAGGAGAGATATCGTAAGCAGTCATCGGTGCAAGATAGCAAGGGGAAGCGGTGAGTATAGACGGTGATCCAATCATCCTAATTCTGATTACCATACGGAATTCAAGATATCCAATTCTCTGTGCTGTGGGATCTAGATAACAGAGAGGCGAACCTGCAAGAGAAGAGAAAGAGGCAAAGACATTCTTAGTCGATGACTTTTCTTAGGAAAGATGTGAAGAAGGGGGGGAGGGGAGGCTTTTGTTAAAGGGATGAACATGGAAGATTGAGGATGAATAACTGTGCCTTTCGAAATGAATAACTGTGCCTTTCGAAATAATATTTATTTTTTTCGAAATAAACTTTCGAAATAACACACTCCTTCCACTGAGGGGGGGGGGGGGAGGGGAGCATCACCATCACACACCATCATCACTATCCCACACACCATCACACACCATCCCACACACACCAGCATCACACCATCACACACCATCCCACACACACCAGCATCACACCATCACACACCATCATCTCATCTCCAGAGACATCTCAGTTGCTTCCCTTTTTCACATGTCTATCAAAATGGGCAACAGAGAAGTGAAGATGACTTACCAATGCATACTTCGCCTTGAATGCAAGTACAATCTCCGTGGTGTAGTGGTAAGACACTCGCCTGGCGTTCCGCGAGCGCTATGTCATGGGTTCGTATCCTGGCCGGGGAGGATTTACTGGGCGCAATTCCATAACTGTAGCCTCTGTTTCACGCAACAGTAAAATGTGTACTTAGATGAAAAAACGATTCTTCGCGGCAGGGGATCGTATTCCAGGGACCATAGGATTAAGGACTTGCCCGAAACGCTACGCGTACTAGTGGCTGTACAAGAATGTAACAACTCTTGTATATATCTCAATAACCCGATTCGTATACATTATACAAGGAATTTTCTGATTCGACATCAGGCAACCTTTCTCTCATCACCAAAAAAATGTTATTTCGAGAGTCACAGTTATTCATTTCGAAAGGCACAGTTTTTCACCGTTATCGGTGAATAACTGACGTTCAGTGAAGTTATACGGTTCTTCTTGACGAACACCTATAACTTCTCATATAATATTGAACCAAAGTGCTCGTTAAGGAGGATTTCTGCTGATCGTAAGTGCTCTGGTAAATCTTTCTTTTTTCTTAAAACACTAGATATTAATGGTTTACGTAGAGCGTAAGTGTTAGTGAATACCAATAGCGTGGGATGCTAAATATACAGTTTATTATACATCTTAATTGGAGTTTACTTATAAGAAATGATCTCATGATAAGAAAATCGATAATACAGTATTGAGAACTCGATGTTAAAATGATCAATATAGGTTGCAATGTGTTAAAATGTTATATTATCATTGTATGTGCAATTGCAGAGAGAGAAGATTAAACCACCCAAAAGGTGGCACGGGCATGAATAGCCCATAAGTGGTGGCCCTTTTGAGCCATTTCCAGTATCAATAGATGATACTGGAGATCTGTGGAGGTGCGACTGCACCCTGCGTGACGGGAGATGTCTCCCGTCTGCAATTGCAGTTCCTCTGGCTCGTTAAGAACTGCACCTCCAGCTAACAGCAGCTTCATACCATCATGTTGCAAGCCAGATCATTGCCCCCCCTGCAATTTATTCATCAAATAAATTACCCAATTCATCAAGTTGGTATTAATGGTGTAATTCAGCTTCGTTTGCATGTTATTAAATGCTCGCAGCTCTGTCTTTCCAAAAGCATTCTCATTCGTGTTCCATTGACCTGAATGAGCCTGGCTGTATGGTATATTAATGGTACATTTGTGGTACATAAGAACATAAGAACAAAGGTAACTGCAGAAGGCCTATTGGCCCATACGAGGCAGCTCCTATCTATAACCACCCAATCCCACTCATATACTAATAATAATGGTACAATAATGGTCGCTACACACGTACCAT